GTTGGGATTGGTGTGTGTGTGTGTGTGTGTGTGTGTGTGTGTGTGTGTGTGTGTGTGTGTGTGTGTGTGTGTGTGTGAGAGAGAGAGAGAGACAGACAGACAGGCGGACAGACAGACAGACAGACAGACAGACAAAGGAGGGGGAGGACAAACAGACAGACAGTACCACAGAGAGGGGTAGGAGGAGGGGTATGAGGAGGAGGAGGAGACAGACAGACAGACAGACAGACAGTACGACGGGCGGAGGACAGACATACAGAAGATAGACAGACAGACAGGAGGGGGGGAGGACAGACAAACAGACAGACAGTACCACGAGAGGGGAAGGAGGGGTAGGAGGAGGAGGAGGGGTAGGAGGAGGGGTAGGAGGAGGAGGAGGAGGAGGAGACAGATAGACAGATAGACAGACAGACAGTACGACGGGCGGAGGACAGGCAGACAGACAGACAGACAGACAAACAGACAGACTGACAGACAGAGAGACTGACAGAGAGTCAAACAGACAGACAGGAAGGGAAGGACAGACAGACTGACTGACTGACAGACAGACTGACAGACAGACAGACAGACAGAGAACAGGCAGACAGACAGTACCGCGGGAGGGGTAAGAGGAGGGGTAGGAGGAGGAGGAGGACGGGTAGGAGGAGGAGGAGGATGGGTAGGAGGGGTAGAAGGAGGAGGAGGACGAAGATCACGATCGGGAGGAGGAGGAGGAGATATGTGACTACATATATATTATATATACATTATATATATGTGTAAAAAAAAAAAAAAAATTGCATACGCGTATGTTGGTTTTTGGGCACATACACGTACGCGCGCATACGTATGCGTATGCATCGCATACGCATACGTGGTGCTACCCAGCTCCACTAAACTAAGAAAATTTCGGCAGCGCTTCCCGTAGGAAAGGAGCCTGTCCAAACAAGAAACAATAATAGCTCTTGACTGTTCGAAGTCAAATTTTGTCTAACTCCCTGAATTAGCAAAAATTTGGGCAGCAGTCTTTTTAGGAAAGGAGACTTCCCAGATTTTTACTAAGCCATGTATGAAAGTTAGACAAGTTCGAACTTTGGTAGACCAAAATTTGACTAACTCCTTGGATTTGCAAAAATTTCGGCAGCGCTTCCCGTAGGGAAAGTGACTTACCAAGATTTATACAAGCCCAAGTATAATAAATGATCCCAGAAAATGCAAAAATTGATCTAAGTAAAAAAACTACCACAGAAAATGCAGGAATTGAATCTAACTCCTATCGCTCTACCACGTGGCGAGCCACTAAAGCAACTACCTATCAAACTGAAACTCATACTAGGTAGTAATCTCACTCGGCCACATGCAAGCCAAACCACAAAGGTCAGTACTCTCACCAACCCAAATTACCTTTGGCAAACAATAGTTCATGATCTCTCAATGATTTAGCCTCTTATACCTTGCTTACATAGGGCATTGAGATTGGTCATTCGTCGTAGAATCAATGCCAACTTTTTGCCTTTGTTATACACGAACAGGTTGCACAACTGCTTTTCTCTTCATTGGGCATATGACTGAGCCATTCGTCTTAGAAACAATGCTTAGTCGCCTTGAACTGCTTAAATAGCCAAGTTATATATACTTCTCTGAACTTAATCTTCGAAGGTGAGCGTAGGGTTGAGCCATTCGTCTTAGAAACAATGCTCAGCCTGCCCAGTTCACCTTCAGTTATAATTCTTAGTTATACTCTCTTCTCTTGTGAGAAGGCTATAGCCAGACCATTCGTCTTAGAAACAATGTCTGGCTAGCCTTGTTCTCATATATATATATATATAGAATTATAGAGAATCCTATTCCTTTGTTCTCATTATAGTCCTGTGGCCTCAGACTTGGACCATTCGTCTTAGAAATAATGTCTAGTCCTTTGGCCTCAATCTCCCTCAGAATGAAACAATCAAAGAGAGTTGAGTCATTTGTCTTAGAAACATTGCTCAACCCCCCTTCTTTCAGCACACAAAAAAAGCAGAGTACTCTGGGTCAAGACCCAGAGACTGTTTAGAAACCACCCAAAATAAACAGCGACCAGACCATTCGTCTTGGAAACAATGTCTGGTCTTCAAAACTCAAGCAATCAATACCCCTCAAGGTAAGGAGCCAGGCCATTCATCTTAGAAACAATGCCCGACACAATTAAATCAACGCAGCGACCAAGCCATTTGTCTTAGAAACAATGCTTGACCCTTCAAAAAACAGAACAAAACACAGCGGTCAGGCCATTCATTTTAGAAACAATGCCTGAGCCTATGAGACCCGACCAGACACGAGCAAAACTGCCTTCCTCCCAACCTTCCCCCTGATGCAACCCCATGTGACAATCTGCTTTCAGACAAACAAAGAACTGAAACTGCCTTTGCACATACATTCCTTTACTTAGTCTGATTTATATCCTGAAGGTCCACCCAAAAGTCAAAGTAGGGGCACATGCAATACATTCAACCAATACATAAATAGGGGTTATACTGGGTTTATAATGGAAAGCAATGGTTACCTTTGAGTTCCCTACCTCCAGAACTCCTCCTGAGTTCCGACAGAGCTCCCGCAATCGATGGGTTGACTTCCCACAGAGCCTTGGTGCGGACCTGCGGGTTGCAATCCCGCCTGCCGCCTTCCTCTCAGAACCAATAGAGTAGACTTAGTAAGAAGGGCAGATAGAGGAAGTTTGAGTCTCTCAGATACAAGAGGGGTGCACTCAGACTCGCATGAGAGGGCCTCGATACCTTCAACGCCTGAGGGCCCCGCAATGGTGACCAAGTGCAGCAGCTTGATCAACCCAAAGTCAAACTGCCGAATTCAACCGTTCTGACGAACTCTTAATTCGCAGCAGTAGCCCCCTGTCACCACTACTCCTCCAAGCTGTGGCAGCAGCCTTCCTTTCAACCCAATCACTGCTGTACCGTAGGCTGGAACAGTTGGCTACAGCCCACAGATTTAGTAGCAGTTCACAGCAGTCAACAGACGCAGCGACAACTCGCAGCGGTCAGCAACGCGGCGACGGTCAGCAGCAGCCGTCTGCCTCAGCCTGCAGCAACTAACGGCGGCCGACAGCAGCCAATAACAGCCAGCAGTTTGTGTTTACCACAACTTGCAGCAGTGCGCCGCAGTGTGCAGCAGCTGTTTCTGCAGCAAGGCCCAACGTGCTCAGCAGTTCAGTGCTGCTCACCAACCACAACAACCCGTAGGAAGTACAGCAGTTGTTGCAGCAGAAGCACAACTGAGGCAACCTGTGGTCTCACACAGCAGCAGGGTAACACCGGATAGTGCAGCAATAATGCATAGTGACAACAACCATACCCAGTCAACAGAGACACGTCAACTTGTTGATGATGGCGTCCAGACGCCTACAACAGTCCGTGCACAGTCAAGCTGCTCAAAGACCAACGCTCAGCAATTGTAGCAGCCTGTGCATTTCCAGCTGGCAGCAACCTCTCCCGCCGTGTTGACTACTGGTATCAGCGTCTCACTGGTCAGCAGTTGAGTATCCCATCGTCCCGTAGGCGGGCTACTCCTTCGCTTGTCTCGCCCTGCCCCTCGACTCTCCGGTAAGTGCCCGTGCTTGCCTCACCCCCTCCTCTTGTCGAGACGGATCGACAACATAACCTTGCCGACTAGGCAGCAGGCGGATTGTGTGCGAACACTGGTTATGTCAGTCTTACTGGGTTTCTCATGGACATCCTACAGCTGCTTCAACCCCTACAGTAATCCATATGTCTGGCAGACGGGCAAACTTCCAACTCATCGATTTCTCCTCGCTGTGTCAAGTAGAGCCCCAGTTAGCCAGGTGATTGTCCAACCTCCACTGCCCGCTGCCAGCAATCTCACACAGCGAACAGGCGATATACCGGTTAGCAGGTAAGTTAGCTCTGTTACTCCGGCCCTCCCCCTCTTGCCGACGATTGGATGGCTTGGCCAACAAGTTTCCGACTCATAATCCTCATGCAACCCTCTGATCTCGGCAGGCTGTGGAGTATGTCCACCAGCCTTTAGGCACTTTGCTAGGCCGCCCTCTTCACTAGTGCGTCAATTATCGAGAGGAACACAGTTCCCCGGATCACTCTCATCCTGGCTTCACTTCCTTCGTTCCGACGGCCAGTGTACCACCCGACAGGCGAGCCCCTACACTACAACTTATCTGGTTTCCTGCCCGCCGTTTGCCTTATGCCGCCCTCACTCGTCGGATGGGCTACGACCGGGCCAGCAGGTGGGTCCCTGGTCTCGCAGTGAGTTTTACCCCTCTTCAACGACAGGGTGAGTAGCACGTCAGATTACACAGATATGTCTCATGCTTACAGTTCTCCCCCACTTATTCTCCCCCGTTCCTCTTAGCATGCTACTCTTAGGATGTGTCCTTACTTATGTAAGGGGAAGAACGGACGAACCTTTCACCAAAACACAGGGAGGTACATCGATTTTTTTTTTTTTTTCGTTGTTTCTACTCTGCACAGCACATTTTCTAAACAGCGCCTAATCCACTAGCTTTTAGCTAGAACTAGCTTCGATCCCGTAGTCGCCCTGGTCCAAAATCCCCGAGTAACACTCTGTTGAAATCGGTCCAAAAATGGCCGAGTTATCTCGTTTTCACTCCCCTCCTCCTTCGCTGTCCGCCATTTCCCATGCACACTATTTCCTTACCAACTCTCACTCTACTAACTATCGACAAGATTAACTCGATTCTTCCTTGCCCGGGGCTAAAACGCTGAAATGGCCACTTTCCTCTCCCGATCCCCATGATGGATGAGTGAACTATGAAATCACTCCTTCACCATATCCACCATCGTCAGTTCTCCGCGGCCCTTTCCCTTAGCTCTCCTTTCCCACTAACTTTGTCCTAAAACCAACCTCATAACTCGCAATTATCAAGACCCCCAATCTTGGTTCCTACCCCGCTTGATCTTACTAAGGATCAAGTCCGCTGCTTTTCTCTGACTGCGCCTGGCCAGTTTCTTCACCATCTCCAAACTCGACAGTACCTGGCCTGAGGATGAGCCAGATACATCCGCTTCCTCGCACCTCCGTTCAATCTTGCCTTCACCCGCTCCTCCATCTTTTCTACCGAACACACCCCGACACAAACACTGCGCTCGGGTTCATTTGCCTATCACCCCCCCCCCCCCGATTTCCGTCTACTGCGTTAGTTTTCCCGGCTCCGCTCACTTTCTGCCTTCACCACTGCTCTCTCACTGAGTCAAATCCACCACTCGTCGTCTTAGTGCGGGGCAGTCCGACAGCGCTTCCGTATGGCTTATGGGTCGATATGTATGAAGCGAGTGGAGTCGCCTCTCCTTTATACTCCCAACCACCAACGGTCAATCCTCCACCCCACTGAACCGTGAGGATTCTCAGTCCCTCCCCGTGCGGCGAGTATGGCATCCTTGCACAGTACCGCTGCAGGCCTCCTCCATGAGCCCGCCCCACTCAGATATAGCCCCCTACTCGGGTCCCAACGGGCCTTCCCATACCCAAGCTCTTTGTTGGCAACTCATGGGTAATCTACACTAACCTGCTGCTAAGATCGCGGACCTCATAACTGGCAACGGCCTAAATAAAGAAAAATAAAAATAAAAATAAAAATAAAAATAAAAATAAAAAAAAGTTTTGGAATAAGCGGGCCCGCGTTTGGACTCCCCCAACAAACAGGGGGGGGGATAGTCCCACGGGACCCTCACCCCCCCCAGCTTCTTCGTTGCTCCAACGCTCCTATACCGCGGCCCACCGGCCTCAAACCCTGTACCTCCGCAGCAACAGTCCAGTGTCGTAACCCATAGGGCTAAGCCCAAGCCTGAGACCAGGGGGCGCGGAAACCCATATAAGGTGATGCGGCCTAGCGCTTTAGGACTAAGGCAAGCATTGGGCCTCACCTCTATCTACAGCCGGACGCGCCCCCGCCAAGCATCCATGCCGGCCAGCACACACTGTGCCGTGACCACTACGCATGCCACCCCACACACCAGGCCTACTGCCGGCCGGACATGGTGGACGGAGGCCAAGCCTTTTTACTCCTAAATCTAATCAGTAAACAAAATCAAGCCGGATGTCTATGTCGACATTACGATCAAAAGAGTAAAATCACACGCGTGCCTTAAAAATGCGCGCCCACTCACCCTATCCACTTAGACAGCCTGGCCCATACGTAGGCAACCAACCTGTCCTGCGTGAACCCTCAAAAAGTCTGAACCAACGGCCCTTCTGTCACTTACA